TTTTCACCAGAATAATTTGTCACAAATATGCACCACCTTATGTATGCTTCACACCACATGCATACATGTATAAATCATATATGTCATGCCATCTTTTCACATATATGCATGCACAATATCATGTTCACATATATAGTTCATGCATTTCTACTTAGATATGCATATTTCACGTAATCCATATAATAAACATGTAAAAATTACCTCAACCTAGGTTGTCAAAAACCTGGTTATAACAAGACCTGTGGCATCTGACCCCCAAGTTGTCTCCTTGATGCCCTCTCTACAATACATTGTTGATAAGTCGGATCCTCACCACAAACCACTACTATATCTCAAAATATATCTACTGTTGATTCGAACTGCTCTGAAGTCCTCCAAATTCAAAATCTTCTTTCTAGCCCCATGTATTATTTGAAGAACATTTCTTAAATTCAAACTCCACTCTTCAACAATTGGATATTAACCCCTCACCCTCTCATCTGCTTAATTGTTCTTATAATACAACACCACCACCTTCTTTGTCTCATCAACTTGAGGAGATCAAATGAAAAATATATGCACTACAAGATGCTTATTCATCTTCCAACAAAAGAATTGAAGAAAGTCGAATGCTTCAAGAAGAAATGGCTACTAGCCTAATTCGGTGTTTTTTTTAACAACTTCATTCCAAGGCACAAGATCAAAACTTAATGATTCAAGTAATGTTCATAGAACTTACCACGTCTTGTCATCCAGTATCCTTCTCGCTTGAAGATCGAACACTAATGATTTGAGTTGAGAAATTTCGGTAAACCATCGAATTATCTCTACGCCTAATGACCATTAAAGTTGATGACATCCTTGTGTCCTTGGGTGCTGTTGAGGGGAAGAAAGCAAAATCTAATCATTCCAACAACACATAGAAAGCAATGAAGCCAACTGTTGAGGGAGAGAAATCAAAATTTAAATATTCCAGCAACATAGAGAAATCAGTGAAGCCACCTGTTGAGGGGGAGCAAAAGAGAGTTCAAGATCCAATTCTTACTCTAAATACATTAGACATAGGAAAAGGCAAAAATGACTTATGAAGATGAGTTATCCGAGAGGAAAGCTAGAAGATATGTCATTCAGAAAATTAAAGGATTCAATATTCATCTTTAACCACCAAGATTCAACAATGATATGCATGATTTTATGTAATCATATTTTGATTGCATCTTATAGATAAAATGAAAGCTTTGTTTACATTGTTTCTTTGTATGTCTATGTATTTCTTTTATATTGTCTTGTAATCCGAAGAAAGGAACGGAAGAAAACAAAACAAAAAGAAAAGACCTTCAAAAGAAAAGATCAAAAAGAGAAAAGGCTTTTCCAAAATGAATCACTGAATTTATGAATTTAGATTTTGTTATTTCACTTATGAGTTTCTGTACCATTTTTTTTCTAAGTGTTTCTATTTCGGCCATCGATTTGTATTATTAACAAATAGGTGGAGATTGTTGGCTTCAACGATTGGTTTTTTAAAATAATACTACTAGAATCCAATTCAACACTTAGACGAAAATTCTTAACAATCGTCTTAAAATGGTTATATCCAATATACAACATATGTCAAATCTGATACAAAGTGTATTAACATCTGAACCTTGCATAACAAAGGAATTTATTGGTTTAAGGTTTCATCACCTTCGAATCTATAACTTAGATAGTATGTTGGAATCAAATATCAGATTGGATGATTCTCCACCCAAATAGAAGAATTCGCTCAAATTCATAAATTGGTCATTTAGTCTTGATTGTTAAGAACCCACAAATACTCTAAGTTATTTTAGCATCCAATGTTCCTACTTCATAATTAGTCTAAAGCTGAAATCCTTCCATAGCTTATATTTTGGAATAGAAAAGATAGGATTTTACTTTCTAAAAGTGTTGTAACTATCTGTATTGATCCAAGAATAAAATGTCTTAAACAAAATCCAAGACTAGCTGAAGTGAGGTCAAGATCATTTTAAAGTGGATTGGTTTGTCATCTAGTTGAAAGAAGATCAATACAAGATAAATTCAAATAGTAGTATGACAAATGCTACTACTGGCAAGATGGATTTTGGAGTGCAAACTTATCCAACAAGTTTGGCTCACCAACTCTACCAACACTCATCCTGGTATAAGAGAATACTTAGCATGTCAGTCAAAGTAAGTACTAAAATACTATTTTAATAGTACCATATTTCATTTATTGTTCCCTTTGCATACAAGCTGAAATGATTAGTACAAACATGCATGGATCAACAAATCAGATAAAAACACACGTTAAAGTTAAGAAACATCTAATGGAATGGTGGCTATAAAAGGTCATCATTGTCATATGTTGTAAGTCACATATTTCGAAAGATGTTCTGAATGATGGTTTCTTTAGGCAAAATGGACGTCATAATCTGAAGACTATTCAAGCACTTCATATTTGAAAGAGTACCCTCTTTTCTCACTCTTTCAGTTGTTAGCAAATTTGTCACTAGTCAAATTGTTTAGGATTAGGTCTTAGTTTCGGCAACAAACTTATAATTCTTTGTTTTAGTACAAAATATAGAATTAATAGTGAAAATTTGTTATGTTTGTATTCAAATTCCATTATACAAACACATCTTTTATAAGTCATTAAATTCAAGGACCAATAACTTATTTACATAAAATATTGATTATATTTTAGATAATATAATTTGAAATAAAATGGGCAATGTAATTTTCATTTACAAAAGGAAGTGGACAAATTTTTTTAATGACTTCGATTAGTGATTTAGATATAGAAAAGTTTTAAAATGTCTTCTTCTAACTTCCTTAGATTCTTTAGGTTAATCATAACACTACCAAAAAAACCCCTTTTTCCGGCGGCCAAATCCGCCGGAAAAAGGAACTTCCGGCGGATTTCCGGCGGATTGGGCCACCGGAAAAAGGGTCGCCGGTGATTTTTTTTTCTGGCGGTTTTTCCGGCGGATTTTCCAAGTTTCCGGCGGATAACGGCCGCCGGAAAATCTCCGCCCGTTTTTTAAGAAATCTTGATTAACTTAAAAAATAATTAAAAAAAATTTTGAAAAAAATTCCGGCGGAATATTCCGCCGGAAATCCGCCGGAAACTTATCTCGCCGGAAATATTTTTGGAAAAGAAAATAATATTAAAAAAAATTAATTTTTTTAAAAAATACCGGCGGATAAATCCGCCGGAA